CTGGAGATGTATGGTTGGGGGGACAAAAAAAACTCCCCTCAATGTCTATAGATATCAGTTGTGAGTGAGGAAAATAACCCAAGAACTGATGTAATTTGACTTTTAAAAAGATGACTCAGGCTTCCAAGGAAAGAATGGATTGTGGGTATCAATAAGGGAAAGAACTAGCCAGGAGATAAAGTGGAAGAGACTATGTGACAATGTGGTTCGGACCATGGTGCTAGCAATGGTAAAGTACACAGCCAGACCTGTTGACAGGTTGGAAAGGAAGGTGAAAGACTCCAGTTTTCAGGCAACTGGGTGAGATGAAGACAAGGTAAGTGTTGTAGATACTTTCCAGTTTTGCCTGCTCGGTATCTGAATCCTCTCCTTGTTGTTAACGTGCTGTCAAGTCAGAACCAACTCATAGCAGATTCTTTAGCAGGTTTTCAGAAGATGTAAACTGCCTTGGGTTGATGAGTGCGCCACTTACCACTAGGCCACCAGAGTTCCTTGACAATCCCCTTCTTAGACGTATAAAATGTACTACTGTGTGAGTTTTAGGGGAAGAATGCTGCCAAACTATTATTAGTTAATTGCTAATTCCTGAAAGCTGGTGGAAGGGCGCATGGCCCAAGTTCAGCTAATCTGATGCTTCCATCAGTGACTATGACTCAGGAATGATGAGGTGGTTTATAATGAACTCAGTGGTGCATGGAGGGCTGGGTTTGCTAACAATGGCAGCAAGGCACTGCCTTGATCATTGCCATTCTGACCACTGAGCTCTCCTTCTCTGCTTATCTTCCAATTTACCAGATGTCCCAGGTTTCAGTTTTAATTTACTTTTCACAAAAATTGAAATATGACTTTATAAAGTGCACAAATCTCAAGTAAGCAACTGTTACACAAACACCTGTGAAATAATAACCCAGATCAAGATATAAAATGCTTTCAAGCACCCTGAAACAGCTTTCTCTCTGATACATTGTTTTCTCCTCTGACCCTGTTCTTTTTCCCAGTAAACTCTATTTCTGCTTAAATTAGCTAGTCAGTTTTTTATTGAATCTGAATGTGATCAATAACTCTTAGTATCTGGTACTTTAAAATTTATCATAGAAGAGCTTTGTTGTTGCTGTGTGCCATTGAATAGAAACAGACCCATAGCTGACCCTTCCTTGGGTTTTTAGAGGCAGTTAATCACAAGGGAGGAGACTGCCCATCCTTTTGCATAAGAAGGCACAGAAAGGAGTAATAGAGAACTCCCATTTTTAACAACTTCCTTAGATCACTAAGAGGCAAATGAGGATTTATTAGTCAAGGATCTAAAAATTGATGTTTCAAAATTATAAAATCCTAACCCTCAAATTAATTCTGTGGCTGAAGAACTAAATTCATTCTAGGAATTGTAAAACTACCGAAACGTGTTTCTTTTAAAAATTCAGAACAGTTTTTATAAAGCTCAAAACCCAACAATCCATTGCCATCTAGTCAGAACCAACTCATAGGGCTGACCCTCCTGGGGTTTTTAGAGACTGTAAATTGCACAGGAAGAGAATGTCCATCTTCCTCTGGAGGAGTAGTTAGCGGAATCAAACTACCTGTCTTTGGGTTGGCAGCCTATCTCCTTAACCACCAGGCAATCAGAGCTCCATTGTATAAAGCTACACAATGTGAAATTTCCTGAGACAGTTACTATGTAGGAGTTTGCTTACACACGCGTCTTCCTGATTTTTTATTCTATTATCATATTCAGCCACAGAAGCATTAGGACTTACAGGCAGAAAAGCATTAGAGGCATTTTGATAGACACTGTATGAACACCAATATCCACAACAAAGAACTCCTTTTAAAAATACAATGGCAGCTCCACCCTTTGTTTGCTCAGGCCTTATTCCTTTTCTCTAACAGCCCACTACGCAGATTCTTTTGGTTCCTACTTCAATATATCCAGAATCCAACCATTTATCTCTGTTGCTCCTATTTTGAGCTACACTACCACATTACTCACTTGGATTACTGTAAAATTGGGTGCTTGAAGATAATGGCCTTGAAGTTCTAAAGGAAAATTATTTTGATCCTAGAATGGCAAGCTAATACAACTGAAGAATGAGGGAGAAATAAAGACCTAGTCAGGCATTCAAGGTTCCAAAGCATATCTCTTACATGCTCTTTTTTTTTTGGTGGGGAGAGGGAGTCTGTGTTGTGGGTGGGTGATACTTGTGAGTATACTTCAATATAAAAAATATTTCCAGAAAGAGTGAGATCCAGGAAAAAGTGGAACACGGGGACATAAAGAATATAAATCTCAAAATGACAGGTAAAATCACTTGACCTAAAAAAACCACATGACTTGATTTTGAGAAGTTGGTAACTATAGATGAAATTATTTGACTTTTACATTTGGAATGCTTTGTTTCAGTCAACAGACTTAAGGATATAAGACTGCATATAAAATCAAAACTGCCAGATATTGATTTGAAGTTTCTGGAATCGTTCTATAAAGGAAAAACATAAGTCAATTATTGTTCCTAGATCTATATAGATGTAGATTATATAATTACTGTAGAAAATTATAGTATAAACTGTGGAAACTAGATAGTAAAGAGAAGAAATGAGTTGGAAAATCAGCACAGAATTGATCACTGTTTCACAGGTAGAGTGTTAAGAAATAGTATTTTAAAAAATCAACAAATTGAGGATAAATGTTACTCAAGTGACAAGGGAAACTAAAAGAAAAACTAAAAACATAACAAAAATGAGGAGAATGAAGGAGGTGCGGTAAATTGTTATTCTTCTTAATGGACAATCAACAGATACTGTTCAATGATAAATCAAGAAACATAGGTAATAAACCTATCAGAGCGGTGGAGATCCGAAGAATGAAAAATTGCTATTATCTTTAATGGGGCAAGACGAATGTGGATGGCCAGGGAAAAGCACTTTATTTTTTCACATTCATTTAATTGGTTCAAAATTATGTAGGTACATGCATTACATTAACATTGGCCTTATTTTTAAAAAGCATCAGGCTGGCAGGCTCAGTCCAAAATGTAGGAAGACTTCAGAAAATTATAAAAATCAAAAGAAAAACAAAGAAACAATGTGAAGTAAAAGACCATTTAAAATAAGGTTTTAAAACATATTCAGCATTACTGAATACAGTAGGGTCAAGTGGCTTATGGTTATGACTCTGGTTTTGACAAAGATGGTTTAGCATTCTGTATGGCAGAGATCCATTTTAAAAGTATTCCTACTCAAAATAACTTAAGAAAATACCCTTAAAGTATTTCAGATTCTAGAAAATTCTATTTTGGACAGGTAAATATTATTACATATATTTATGAATAGTAAGGCAGTTCAATGTTTTAATTTAACATCTTTGTTTATAAAGATAATATTAAAAGAAGTTATCCTTAAGATCATTATGATATACAGTATGATATGAAAGTTATATTTCAATAAAATTTTACATTTCTAGAACTTACTTCATTTATACAATATGACCAATAGAGCAGACAAAATTAAGAAAACCAAAAATGCCTTCCTATAAAATATTTAACAGTATATTTCTTTGACAACTTAAGTAATACATATACCTATTACAGGGTTTTTTGGTATTCTTCTGAGTCACTATACAAAGTTTTAAAACATGAAAATTTCTTATAAAAATATTCATATGGTTTTTAAACAACTGTATTTTCAAATTAAATAATAAAGTGTTCTGTTTACCAACTGCATGGAAATTGTGAAATTCTTTAATATTTAGAAAAACAAAGAAGTCAACTTTTTTAATGGCTACCACACATTTAAGTTAAGTTGGTAATTAAAATTTTTTTTAAGATTTTTAAAGCTACACCATCTATAAATATAAAAGTTAAAAAAATACATTATGATTTTTTTTAAAAAGGTTTCTAAATTTACATTTGCAAACACTGCTGTGATTGCTCTACTTTCTAGATATACTTGGCCAAAATCAACTCATTTTTAAAAATCAGTAACATGTAGTAACATGTACACTGGCAAGAATTCTTCATAAACAAATGAGGGTAATCAAAATTCAATGATACAAATGTTCTACCACAAATAAAATACTTAATACAAAGCAGAATATTTTAAAAACATAAAGAGGCAATAAAGATCTTTTTCAAAATTTTATTACCAGTGTAGAAATCTGGGCATTTAATCCCTTAAGGAATTAGTGGGTTTCCATTTAAATAATTACCTTTCACTGGGGATATTGTGACTTTCTGTGAATAAAACAAAGTCTTTTATTTCTATGTATACAGATGCTTCTAGAAAGATAACTTCTTTTGTTTTGGTCCAAATATTTCTGTATTTTCCCTCATTTAACTTAAACATTTTTTCCTGAAAAAAATGAGATATTTTTAAGATGATTTTGGCCCTGTGACAAATAAACTTTAAAGATACATGTAGTGCTACAGCTAACACTCCATCCTTTTACCTATACATATAGTCACTTACAAATATATACATATTTTCAGTATTATAAAAATATTTACTTTTTATAAGCTTAAATAATTACCAAGTGTTACCATAGAATACATTAATATTTGTATACTTTTAGTTATTTAAAAACATTTTCTTATAGCAGCCTTTGTAATGCAAATGAAATGTGGTCAAATGCTGTTACAGTATATACTAATTCATGCTGCAAAACTGAATGAGCAACTGCAACGCTCCTCCAAAAAGGTCTGTATCAGCTAGCTACAAAAAAGCAGTTCTTAGGAATTACAAAAATCTTAAGAGGTTAGGAATTTATCTGAACCTTATAAGTGCATTTTAAAATTATACACATTAGAATTGGCAAGATTTATTAAACTACTCCTACAAAGTCCAACTTATCTTTACCCACAGAAAATTTTTCTAATGGGATCAGTAAAGTTATATTTACCAATAATGTTTTTTAATTATATCACATAAGCTTATTAGAAACGGAAGGTTTCAAGAGTAAAAAAATAAAATATCATTGAGAGAAGTAAAAGACATTGGGGGGGGAACCCTCAAATATTCATTTTAAGTTTATTTTTGTTGAGTTCACGTTCCAGATTTCCAATCAAAGTATCAATACTTTCCTGCAGATCTTTAAGGTTGACTTTTTGATCCGTTCTAGACCCGATTGTCTGCACTGTAAAATATGTCTGGAATGTACACTCTTTGGACACTGGGACTGACTGTTCAACCATTAGATTTGTTCCATCCATTCTGCCATAATCATCTGTATTTTCTCTGTCTTCTGAAGGGACATCATCATAATCCACATCATTTAAATCTTCTTTTGTATTTAAAAAGTAGCTTTCTCCACAGCTGCTCCAGTCTCCCGCATAACGGTTGCTAAGGGGGCTGTCTAACCTGACATGCCTTGACCTAAGTACACCCAATGTCTCAGTACCACTCAGATTTAACATGCAAGGCCGTTCTTTCTTCCGCCTCAAATAGTTCACAGAAAAGTGCTGCTCAGGACACAGATTGTCTGTTGATTCTTTAACAGGTAAACGCTGCACTGGAAACAAACAATAAATCTGCTTTAGTGTCAATAATTCCACTGGTCTTGGAAAAGAAAAACCAAACAGAAAAAGGAAGAAAAAAAAAAAGAAGCTAAAGGTAAGCCATTTAATAATCAACTACAACCATGCTTTAAAAAACATGCACACTATGAAAAATAAGGCATTCCATAATTATTTTTCCTATCACCAGGCATAATAAAGATGAGGAACAGGAGACCGTTTAGTGGTGTTGATTCATGCTATATCATAATGTCTCAAAACAAATCAAACTTCCAATGTTGATTAATTTTCTGTGCCAGTTAATTATTATCTAGCTATAATTCAAACAGTAGCTAAGCTGGTAGCTTCTTCTAAATTAAAAGCTAGAGTGAAAAGCAGGCAAGGCAGGTTGGTGTACAAAACAAAACAAAAAGTTCTTTCAACTGCAAACATCTAAATGAGGCAAAGTGGCTACACTAAAAGTCCTGACATTTGTTTTTCAATTATTAGCAGCAGAGTCATAATTTACTTTACTAAAGCAGCCCAAACATCATTTTGTAAAAATGCACGAGGACTAGACTTGACCACTTGTTACCTGAGTTTGATTACACAGCATTAGCTACTAACAGTCTTCATTATTGCCTGAAAATAGTACAAACATTTTATTTTCCGATTCTGGTTAGGTAACTAATAATTCCAAATATTATTCATCATGCTAAGACAAAATTGTTAAGAGTATATATCATGTTGGACATAGATTCCCCTAAAACACTACCTCTTAATATGAGTACTGGAAAAAAAACTTGTCAAGGCTCCTCTGTAATTAAAAGTAGGCTTAATTTATAGTACTTACATTACTAAGTGTATTTACATTATAAAGTCTAGGGACTTGGTCATTTATATTTTCCTTTAAGTGGTCAGACTGCTTTTAGCTTTTTTTTGTAAAACTTCATTTATATCATTCCAATAATCATATTACTTTAATCAGAACCTTAGCCTTGAAACTGTGAACTCCTGGAAGTGTTATTAATCAAGTTTGCTACAAAATTAAATCTCAAAAATAATGGTAGTTCCATTCAAAAGATTGAGAAAAAAATTTAAAAAATTTCCATTTCCCCCCAAAAAAGACTAAATTTAAAAGGCCAAACCTTAGCTATTAAAGATTGCTCAAGATATTTTTGCTGTTTGTTAATTTAATTTTACTTTAGTAAATGCCTAGAGCTTTTTATACTTCTTTAATTAAGATAAAGAACATGGATCAAAGGTAATAAACCAACTTGACACTTACAATATAAACAATGAATCTTATATAAATGGATGGTTTAGAAAACCAGAAAACTACACAAGCATGTATACGGTTCTAGTTTTCCAAGCTTACAGTGATATTTGTAACACTTTTCAGAGACTACATAATTGTTTTATTTAAATTTTATTAAAATATTTTATAACCATATATATTTAGGATTTTACCTTTCTTTTTGTATATATTGTTATGATACTGATATAAATAGGTAAGTTACTGATCTAGAATTTACTGGAAACTAAAGGTCTAGTAAATACTTAAATCTATCTTTAACATCATTTATAATATAGACTATTCCATGCCATTCACTAATGTAATTAGGGAATGGGCATCTGAATTTTTCCACTGTTGAATTATTGATACTGCTTTTTTTCCTCCGGCAGCTTATCTCTGCTAAATCTCTCTGCTTGCTTTTCTTCATTCTGTTAATTGTCATGCCTGTTATTTTTGCCAACCAATGACAGTTCTCTACTAATCTTCAAATCATTTGGCCCAACGGTCAAAAGACAAAATATCTTTTAACTGTGTGTCTTGAACTTGTCCTACTATGACAGCATTTTCTGATAGACATCTAGGTTCATTTTATTGCCAGTTGCTTAAAGTTGTTTAATCAAGATCATAGTCAAATATTTAATATATTAAAACCTAAGTTTTGATAAGTGCAGCTATTGGCATCTCCTTACCTAGAGCAAAGAAGAAAGAGGAAAAGCAAAGAAGTATAAAAACAATTAGCCCAAAGTACAATGAACCAAATCTCCATGACCTTGAGGCATACTTTGGACATGTTGCAAGGAGGAACCAGTCCTTGGAAAGGGACATCATGCTTGGGAGGTGGAGGGACAGCACAGGAGAGGATGACCTTCGATGAGACAGAATGATTCAGTGACTAAGATAATGGGGGTAGGTGTGTCAGAGACAATAAGGTTGGCTTAGGATACAGCAGGGTTCAGGACTGTTGTATATAGGGTCACTATGAGTCACAAGCACCTCAACGGCACATAAAAACAACAGCAAAGTATAACAGAGAGTAATGATGACTAAATGGTAAATTTTATGTTGTGACAACTATTGATACATGGAACAATATGGATGGTTTAAAAATAATGCCCAGTACTGCGCTGCAATCCTGCAGGCACGTGGTTTGAATCACCCAGCTGCTCTTCAGCAAAAAGATAGGCAATCTCCTCCTGTGTGATTTACTGCCCCCTGAGAACCCACAGGAAGTTGCTATGCATTGGTTCCGACTTGACAGCATACAACAACAAATATAATGAGGATGGTTCAAATGAGGATAGGACAAGGTTCTGATCTGTTGTGTCTAGTCTACTCAATTTTGCACTAACAACAAAATAAATGAGACCAATATATAAGTACGGAAAATATAAGTTTATCTGTTGTGACAGAAAGAACATCTGTGATTGCCTTTGGATGAGAGATAACAGAAGGAGAAATGAAAAAGTAGCAGAGAAAATGCACATCCATGTTTATAACTGTGTTATTCACAGTAGTAAAGGGATGGAAGCAACCCCTCAAACAAATGGATAGAAAAACTATGGTACATTCACACAATGGAATATTATGCAGCATTTAAAAAATAATGAACTTATACAAACATTATACAACCTGGACAACATTATGCTGAGTGAAATATCTCAGCCATAAATGGCTAAATACTGCATAACACTGCTGTTATAAAACAGGACAGACATGGGGTGGGGTTGAGGAGAGAATACAAAAAGAGTGGATAGAAAATGAACACTGCTTTAGAATAGAGGAGGGGAAGAACTCATAATCTGAAAGGAATATATGATTAGGCATTACATGTATGATAATCTGATGTAATGGGTGCATTGTGGGGTGGGCTGAGGAGGGGAAACGAAAACGTTAAAGAAGGAATAAAAAAATAATAACTGTTTAAAACAAATAGCACAGAGAAACTCTGGCGAGATAAGTGATATTGTTATGGATTGAATTGTGTCCCTAATCCACAAAAATGATAATAAAGTCCTGGCCCCTAAACTGGTGGGAAACAAGGTTTCTATGTGGGAAAGTGTTTTCTCTATAATGTTAATTAGGTCATACCCAAGGAGAGAGGGTCATAAACCTTATCACTCCCGAGTTATAAAATGAGCATACTAAGCTCAAGTAGAGGCATACACAGGGGAAAGACAAGAATGCCATGGACTACTGGTAGGGATTTATGACTTATTGATTATGCAAAGACATTTTACTGTGTGGATCATAAAAAATTATGGCTAACACTGAGAATAATGGGAATCCAAGAGTACTCAATTGTGCTCTTGCAAAACCTATATCCAGACTTAACTGTGCTCTTGGAAAAATTATACCTAGACCAGGAAAACAAGGGAACACTACATGGTTTAAAATTACAAACCGAGTGCATTAGAGTTATATTCTCTCTCCATACCTATTCAATCTATATACTGAGCAAATTATTCAAGAAGTTGAATTCTATAAAGAGGAATGTGGCATCAGGATCAGAGGGAGCCTCATCAATAACTTTCATTATGCAGATGGCACAATACAACTTTGCTTGCTGAAAGTAAGGAGGACTTAAAGCATTTGTTGCAGAAGATCAAAGAATACAAGCCTTCAATATGTATTGCATTTCAATGTCACCACTGGACCAATAGGCAATATCATGATAGGTGGAGAAAAGATTATAACTGTTAATAACCTCATCTTATTGGATCCACAAATAACAGCTTTGGGACCAATAGTCAGGAAATCAGGAGACATATTACACTGGGAAAGTCTGCAGTTAGGGACCTCTCCAAATTATTGAGGAGTAATGATGTCAGTTTGAGGATTAATGTGCATCTATTCAAGGCCATGATCTTTCGGATCACTTCCTATTCATCTGAGAGCTGGACAATGAATAAGGATTACAGAAGAACTGATACCTTTGAGTTACAGTGTTGGAGAAGAGTGCTGAATATTCCATGGACTATATAAAAAGAACAAACAAATATGTCTTGGAGAGGGCATAGTCACAGTGCTCTTTTTTTAAAAAAAATTTTTTTTTTTATTTATTTATTTTCAGAGTGCTCTTTGTAGGTTAAAAATGATGAGGCTCTGCCTCATATACTTCATACTTCATACATACTTTAAATGTGATGCTGTTGTTGTTATGTGCCATCAAGTCGTTTGCGACTCATAGCGACCCTATGTACAAGAGCCCTAAACGCCGTTCTATCCTGTGCCAACCTCGCTGTCTCAAACACATTCATTCCCACCACTCCACTCACAGAATTGATCCATCTCATCAAAGGTCTTCCTCTCCTGCGCCGTCCTTCCACTCTCCCAAACATGACGCCCCTCCTTGCAACATGCCCAAAGTATGTCAGATGAAGCTTCAGAATCCTTGACTCCAGGGAACATGCTAGGAGGGGCTAGTCCTTGCAGAGGTACATGATGCTCGTAAAGCTAGAGGGTTGGTGAAGGAAAGAAAGACCCTTGACCAGGTGGATTGACATGGTGACTGCCGCAATGGGCTCTAATGTGTCAGAAAGTATGAGGATGGCATAGGATAGGACAGGATTCAGATCTTTTGTTCATAGGGTCACTATCAGTCATTATTGACTCAACAGCACCTAACAACACTGGTAGGGCGCTGGGCTGGCCTAGTAGTAAGGAGTTACACACCAACCCAAAGGCACATGGTTCAAGTACAGCAGCTGCCTAACAGGAGAAAGATGGTCAATCTCCTCCTGTGGATTTACAGTCTCTGAAAACCCACTAGAATATCAAGTATAAATAAGTTCCAATTCTATGCTATAGAGTAACAACAATTAGAAGCTGAAACAGACAAAGACGACACTCCCTACAGAGATATAGTTTGGATATCAACTTGTAGTTTCAGAAACCATGAGAGACTAAATTTCAGTACTTAAAATATAAAATTTTAGCTAAGAATTAAGTTAGAAATTTTTACTACCTTAATTTTTAATACACTTATACAAATTTAATTAGATTTAAACATTCCCTTGAACTATACTATACTATACTATACTATACTATACTATACTATACTATACTATTTATACACCTCAACAGAGTAAGAACGAACATTTACTGAGGGCATACAAGGGTTCTTCTTTTTGCCAAAGATACTTTATCTTCACAACAACCTCAAGAACAGCCTTTGTAGGGTGGGGTGGGGGAGGAAATGGAGACTTAAAAATGTTAATGTATTTGTCTGAGGCTACAATGCTGGTAAGCACCCCAGCTAGGATCTGAATCTAAATCTGAATACTGGGCCTTTGCACTTGGACCACAACAGCATTTTTTACACCAAGCATCTATACTTTCATCCTTGATACTATATTAAAGTGGTGGGAGATGAGAAGAACTTGAGACCCAGTAAGAAACTCTGGAGACTTATAAACAGGATACCTTATAAAACATCTAATTGAGTACTTACTACTCTTTAATTCTCAAACAATATAAGAGGTATCATACTTAGGACAAAAAGATCCAACTTTTGGTTAGTGACTGAAATAAAAGATTGGATAAAAAGATGTAAAGATTTAAGATCATTACAGTTTGTCGTCGTTGTCATGTGCCGTTTGAGTCCCCTGCGACCCACAGCAGCCCTATGTACAGCACCTCTGGACCCTGCCCTGTCCTGAGCAAGTCTCACTAATTCTGACACATCAACCCCCACTGTCCCATTTACTATATCAATCAATCCATCTAATCTGGGGCCTTCCTCTCCTGCGCTGTCCCTCCACCCTTCCAAGCATGATGTCCTTCTCCAATGACTAGTCTCTCCTGGTACGTGAGACAGAGCTTCAAAATCCTAGCCTCCCAGGAAAAATTTGGTTTCAACTTCTCTAAGGCAGACCTATTTGTTCTCTTGGCAGTCCATGGTATGTTCAAGACTCTTCTCTAGAACCACTACTCAAAGGCATTGATTCTTCTTCTGTTATCCTTAGTCACTGTCCAGCTCTCTAAAGCATAACAACTAATTGCAAAGACTATGACCTGGATTAGGCGCACCATAGTTTCTAGACTGACATCTTTGCTTTCTAGTACTCTGGAGAGATCCCTGAAAGCAGATTTTCCCAATGCAATTTGTCTTTTGATTTCCTGACTGCTGATGTTTTAAGTGTTGTTGTGGAGCCAATTAAGCTGTAATTGTTAACCTCAATCTCTTCTCCATCTATCATGATGCTGTCAAGTGGCCTAGTGGTGAGAATTTTTGTCTTCTTGATGTTGAGCTTCAATCCGTATTGAAGACTACAGTCCTTGACCTTCTGTAGCAAGTACTACACTCTGTCGGGCTACCATTACAGTTAGGAATGTATAATCTGAAGAATGATCATGAATATAATATATATTTTAGTAAGAAGTGACTTTAGGAGAAAATGAATTCTGCTTCACACAGATTGAACTAAAAGTGAGACGAGTAGAGAATATCTATTAAGCACTTATTCAATGCATTAAGAGGTACACTGAGCAACTTGAACATACAATTTTCATGTCATCTTCCTAGAAATGCTGTATTATAGCTCTAAAATGTTAAGAAATTTGTTCACGGTCAGAATGCTAACAAGTGGCAAAACCAGATTTTTAAATCAAAATCTGACTGAGTCAAAATGGATATACAAGTAACTTTATGTCTATAATATCAGCATAGACAAAAAACTCAAAGGAAGAAATCTAAAAGACAGGCATAAAAATTCATTACTATCTGAAATAGACAAATCTAGATTTTTCTTTAATTAAATGTGAGCATATTTAGTAGCTAATTTAAATACCCTGACATTGAAGCAGCAAAATATTTTCATGGATTCATTACCTGGCCAAAGCTGGAGTAGGTAATGAAGAACTTCAATATGTTTTTTAAAATCCAAAGCACTTGCAAGCTCTTCTGAGTCAGTGAAGACTCTGTTGTTGTAGGTACAAGTCTCTTGTCTCTGACTTAATAATACCGGTCCAAAGCACACAGCCAAATTCTGGCAGGTCATCTTATTTACTTCATGATGAGAAGCCACCAATTTCAAATGATCCAGCAACATCTTTAGGGTTGCCTAAATGAAATGATATTAAAGTTTATTTAATATAGTCAACATGGGCAAGTTCAGGAAAACACTATATAACAAAAAACATGTTGTTGTTATGTGCCATCGAGTCGTTTCCGACTCATAGCGACCCTATGCACAACAGCTCTAAACCCTGCTCTATCCTGTGCCAACCGCACCGCCTCTGACACACCCATCCCGATTACCCCCGTCACCGAATCAATCCATCTCATAGAGGGTCTTCCCCTCCTGCACCGTCCCTCCACCCTCCCAAGCATGATGTCCCTCTCCAAGGACCCGTCCCTCCTGGCAACATGTCCAAAGTATGTCAGACGAAGCCCCAGAATCCTTGCCTCCAAGGAGCAGCTTGGTTTAATCCTCTCCAAGATGGATCTGTTACTATGGAAATAATATAGTTAGAGGAAATAAAAGTATTAAAACCAAATTTAAAAAAAAAATTCCTTGAAGTAACACTGTTTGGCCCAAGTGGAAGTATGGTGAGTGGTATTTATTATATGAAAGATTAATGTGTTTTAGAAATAGTGTCATATGTCCAATTATTTAATAATAAAATGAGTGTGTCATTTCTTCTTTAAAGACTAAAATGAAGGAACGTCAAAAAAACATTATACGTTAAAAATCTTATTTTAAATATGTCTTTTTTCACCTCTCTATTAATGGAGAAATGACCCAACTCATTCTATGGGATGTATCTTTTCTAATAAAACTATCTGGGGTAAAAAGATCTTGTAAGTAAAAATAAATTAAGATGCCATATTATTTCTGCTGTCAAAAGGAATAGACTTGGAAAAAAAAAGTTGTTAGCAATTTTGGCAAGAAAACATTCAGAGATGAGGAAGGAGTCCAGACTGCAATGGACTGAGCAGTAAAGGAGCTTGAGATGTGACAGTGAATACAATCTTTCAATGTTTGGCTGTGAAGGGAAGGAATAAAGAAAGAATGAAAGCTTGTTGCTGCTGCTGAGATTCTACTCTAAATCTACTAGAAAAGAAATCTTTATGTACAAATATAAACAAAACTGCCTACAAACCCATAAGGCATAGAGTGATAAATCATATCAGATCCACTCAATGAAAAATTATGTATAATTTTAGAAAGACCATTGTGTGGGCTTTAGACTCAGAAAAGATGTAAATTCACAGGGTAGACTACAACACTCACAAAACATATACAATCTTGTGAAGTGATTTAAATTTTCTGACACCCACTTGCTTCATCTTTAAAGTGGCACTGATTATTTCTACCTCTACACTCGACTCAGGGAGCTGTGAGACTGCCGTCCACCCCGCACACTGCTAACGCAAAGGTGTTGCCTCTCTGTCAGGTTTACAGAAGAAAGATGGGCAATCTACACTTGGTGCCATTTACTGCCTTGGAAACCCTATGGGGAGTTAGCTATGTAGCAGTACCAACTGGAAAGCAGTGAAGATTTTGAGTTTTCACTCTACCCAATTTCTTCTTTTTATGTATTTCTAACTGTTCCCTTCTCCCAAACCAAATGAGTAATGGCGACTAATCTAACTGGACAGAGGTAGAGACACTTAGGGGACCACAGTAAACTAGTGGATAATGTTACTGGAGTGAGTTAAAGTTTCTATTCATTCAATTTTTCACTCTCTGCCTCAATGTAGCAAGCAAACCCATCTATATAGTAGCCAAAGTCATCTAGACAAGCCCAGTTTACAATGTCAGTTTAAAGACTAACTGGGGGACGGGTGTAGGGAGGAAAATGTGAATGAATGGAAATCCAAGGTTTTTTGGTAAACTTTGTTAAAATATCAATTTAAGAGAGAGAAGAGAGAGAGAGAGACGAACATGCACCAGATTCAAGTCATGGTCTTCTCAATTACTTGCTAGGCATCTGGATGTTGGACAATGACTAAGAATGAAAGATGCAGAAGTCATGTTTGAGTTACGTATTGGAGAAGAGCACTGAATATCCATGGAATTTCAAAAGAATAAACAAATGTCTTGGAGAAAGTGCACTCAATGTGCTCACTGGAGGCAAGGAAGGTGAAATCGTGTCTCCTTTGCTTTGGGCATGTTTTTAGGAGGGGCCAATCCTTGGAAAAGGAAAGATGGAGGGTCAGCAAAAGAGAGGAAGACTTTCAACAAGATGGGAGTGATGGAGTGACCGTAATAATGGACTCGAGCATATCAGACGATGAAGATGGTGCGGGACAGGGCAGGTTCAGAGCCACTGTTCATATGGTCACTATGACTAATCATCAATTAGATTATTACACACAACAACAACAACAACAACAACATATTTTTAAAATACTAAGAGGAAATTTGCTAATCATTTATTATAATTACCTAGGATACTGGTCATTGTTATTTTTCATTCTCTTTTCCTATATTTTCTCAACTATTCTATAAGAGCACGTTATTTCACTAAAAAGGAAATTAACTTAAAAATATATGCAAACTTTAAAACTAGTAACAAAATAAAATTTATAGAGTATTCTTATTTCCAAGTGACTCGATGGCACATAACAACAACAACATTCTTATTTCCTAGTATTGGATTGACAGTGTAACAATGGGCTCGAGTATATCAGAGATAATGAGGCAGGCACAGGATAGGGCAGGGTTCAGATCCATTATTCAAAGGGCTACTGTGAGTTGTAGTCGACTAGATAGTACTTAACAAAATTCCTGTCTAAGGTAAAAAAGCAAATGTGAAAGAAACTGCTTTCTAGATTTAACCTGTTTAAGAAGCAGTTTTCAGATGTATTCTTTTTAAAAAGCAACAGAAGTATAACTTAAACCTATGAGTGCCACAAATTTCAAATAATCACTTGAAGTTTAGGAACTAAGTATAATTTATTGGCTGGCTTTCAGGAAAGGGCACACCAGTCATGCTTACCTTCTCAACATCAGGCAGGCACTCCAGCAGGTCAACAGTGTACTTAGAGTCACATGGATCATTCTCACAACCACTGAATGACATTTTCAAAGGATTTTTTGCTATTGCATCTAATACAGCCTCATAAAGCTGCTTAGTTATCAGAGGAGAAGGAAGTTCTCTTAAATAATCTTTAAGAACACCTTTAAAAATAAACAAACAAATTAGAAGCAATGGGATACTGGTCTTCTTGGTGAAATCAAGAACTATAGTCTTTTTCTTTTCAAATTTAAGCATTACTTTGACTAATAATAATATTTCATATATAACAATAAAAGCAACAGCATAAAAAGTACTCTGATACAACACTAGCACTTTGTATTACTGTAAATTGCCTTTTTGTTTTGAAAGCATGCTAAAAATGCTTATACATAATTTTAAATTAACATACACAGCTTTCGTAACCTAGTGGTGAAAAGCTGCCTCAGGAGCCCAAAAGAGCATGGTTCAAATCCGTCAGCTGCATTGCAGAAGAAAGATGGGAAGTCTCCTTCTGAGTGATTTATAGTCTCTGTTGGTTTTGACATGATGCCACATAACAACAACAACAACATATCTATTAAGTTTGTTATTCATAAAATAAAATAGTCTTGATTCAAGCTCTGCTGGCCTAGTGACAAGAAGCTGTGCTGCAAGCCTGACTGCATAAGGGTCAAGTCCACCAGCTGCTCCATGGGAAAAGGATGGGCTATCTCCTCCCATGCAGTTAACTGCCTCTGAAAACCTACTGGAGGGAAAAAGTTCCTCAATAAATACAAACCAAAAGTTAAGTAAGCATGGCACATTAATATTAGTCACAATAATAAAAAAATGGGAGTTTCTAAAGTTTAAAGTAGTAATGGAAGACTACCCATGGTATAAAGCCAATGCAAATAAAAAAGCTTTCATCTTTTCTCTTTAATAGAGAAGAGGTGCTTCAAACATTTGTACTAGATAGCTAGATAATCTCTAATAGTACACTATCCTATGAAAGAAAAAAATCCATTCTAAGACCACATCACTACAATAGGAGGAAAGAAAAGCAATTGCAAATAAAGCACTAACATGACTGAAGAGATATTGTTTAAGGAAAATGAAGCAGAAATTACAGTAATTGTTTCATACAAGCAAAGAAGATAAGGTACTAGCCAAAGGCTTTACTATATTACAAGGGGAAACAGAGATGGTCCTAATGCTAAATGTGTGTGTGTGTGTGTGTGTGTGTGTGTGTGTGTGTGTGTGTGTGTGTGTAAATTTAATTATAATATTGGTTGAGAGCATGTTCTCTTTTTTGCCATAATTTGGATTTAAACATGATCAAAAGATAGCTTACTACTCTACTACTCTCTAGAAATTTTAATAGATTGTTATGTTCATCAAGTACATTCCAACTAACAGTAACTCTACAGGACAGAGTAGGACTGCCCTATAAGATTTCCAATACTGAAATCTGCATGGAAACAAACTGCCATCTATTTCTCCGCCAGAGCTGCTAGAGTCAAGTTAGCCTCCTAGTAAAGTCTCACCCTTGCTTTCACCCACCTTTTCTCCCTCCTCCCTAAAAACCCTCAAATCCACTGCCACTGAGCCAGTTCCGACTCAGCAGCCCTCTGTGGAGTTTCTGAGACTATAAATCTTTACAGAAGACTGCCCTACTTTCTTCTGAGGAGTAGCTAATGGATTCAAATGACTGACCTTTTAATCAGCAGCATAGCATGTAATGAGCACACCATGCCACAAAAGATTCTTCCCCATCAAATTTTGTTAAAATTTTAAGAAAGAAAAAGCACCTTGGTTTGTTTTCTCATAGAATTAAAATGCTTAGGATAAAAATGACAGTCAACTTGTTGTGTGCCATCCAGTGAGAACTAAGTCATAGCTGACCCTCCAGCGGGTTTTCCTTTTCCAGGGATCATCAGCTGATGGGTTCAAACTGCCTACCTTTGGGTTAGCAACACAACTCCTTAGCCACAAGGCCACCAGAGTGCTCTCAAACATTTTATAGATGACATTAAAGGGTGCAGATAGTGTAGGAAAGTGGCAGAGAGTATAAACTTCTGAGCAACTCACTCATTCACTCCCTCACTGCCCTCAAGTGGAACTGACCCAGCTGATACTCCAGGGGGATTCTGAGGCTATCAATCACAAGAGAGGAGACTAGTCTGCCTTTCTCCCACAGAGCCACTGGTGGGTTCAAACCATTAGAGAAGCTTGCTCTTTGGGTTAGCACCACAAACCCCTATGGATTATGCCACCAGAGCTCCAGAAAGGTATCAATCTGAGAAGAGCACCAGGGAGCCAAGAGAATACTGGCCAAATTCCTCCTTCATATATATGAATAAGAGACCGATAAAATGTCTGATAAATCTTAAGCAAATAAGCTTTAATAGTGATGATATGACAAAACATTTGACACACAGTAGGGATGCAACAATTGTTTATTTCCATTCCTTCATTTATATCATGAGACCTTTACTCTCACTGCAAGATTTTTCAATCTAAACCTCTCTAAAATGAATAGGAACATTCAATGTAAAGGAAGGACAACAAAGTTAAAACCAGAGAGTTGAAAGGCAACTTTCTGTAGTTGCCAAAGAAAGACTCGACTAAACCCCCAGGGCATGATTTTTAGAAAGGGATCCCATTTGTTCCTTGACAAAGCAAGACTTGTTAGTTCTTACAAAACTCAATTTGCCCTAGTAGCTTGAGATATGCTTTTTAATGCAATTACATAAATTAAAACCTGTAAGATCTCTAGAAAAGATAATTTTATTAACTTAGTAAAACACATATTTCAAATATTGTTATCCTTTGTGTCATATAACAGTTATTAATTTAAGTGGAATGTTAAATCATCCACAATCAAGATTATTTTACTTTACTATAATTTAAGAGCAAATTAAAGGGAATATTCACAAATGGTGACTGTTGTTGTTGTTATGTGCCGTCGAGTCGTTTCCGACTCATAGCGACCCTATGCACAACAGCCCTAAACCCTGCTCTATCCTGCGCCAACCGCACCACCCCTGACACACCCATCCCGATTACCCCAGTCAC